TCACTATATGGCCCTGGAACTGTCGTTCCCTGCACAACAAGCACGCTACACTCACTCTATACATAAAGGCGGCGCTGGTTCCTCCTGACGTAATCTGCTTGCAAGAGGTGGGAGCCAGGCCTAAAACAGTTTCTGGCTACAAACTGTACATGGATCCAAATACACCTAAGATTGCGACACTCGTCCGGAAAGAATTGGCAGCTACATGCATAACGGCACCGAACAAAGAGACGCAACACCTTATCGTAACGCTCTGGCCAGCGAAGAAAGGACGCCCGAGGCAGGTTATATGTAACATATACAGTCCCCCACAAGACAGAAAAGCAGAATTCAGCAATATCTTCCACTATTTGAACAACAAGCTTCAACCACGCGACCGCTTGATCATCACTGGGGACTTCAACGCTTGGCACACCACATGGGGTTATAGCGCAGACAGACCCAAAGGTACGCGACTTTTAGAAGCGATACAGCGCTACGACTACACACTCCTCACGACACCGGGCATACCGACTCGTATAGGAAACAGTGTCAACAGGGACACCACTCCCGACCTTACCGTAACCAACAATGCCGCGACCATGCGCTGGAGTGTGCTGGACGACAATCTGGGCAGCGATCACAATATTGTGCAAATAACATATGAAACAGCTCGACTGCGACGCCCGCTCGGAAAAGCCAGACTGACTAACTGGACTAAATATAGAGAGCAACAGGAAGTAGACGGGCCCAAGCCAACAACTATAGCCCAATGGACACCGTAAATTAAGGGTCTCTATGACAAGAACACCAAGATATATCAAACAACTACCGACGCACCTGCCATTAATTGACACCCACTTGACACATCTTTGGGAAGCTCGTCGAGGCCTCACGAAACGGTGGCGCCGACAAAAGCTAAATAAGAAACTCAGACTCCGTATAGCGAAAATCACGGAGGAAGTAAACGCATACTCAAAGGAACTTTACAACAACAACTGGCGCACCTTCTGCGATTCCTTAAAAGGCACATTAAGCACGAAAAAGACGTGGAACATCCTACGGAGTCTTTTGGATCCCTCTGCAACAAGAACCGAAACAAACGCTACCCTTCAACGGCTTGCTGGGGAATTTCAAGGTGATCCGGATCAGTTAATAGAAGAGCTGAAACAACGCAACACAGGAGAACGCAAGCGAAACGTTAGCCCAACACCCAGTCAAGAATACAATGGAGAACCCAACACTGAGCTCGACGCCGCCATAACCTTTGGGGAGGTTTATGTAGCGGCTCAAAGCTTCAAAAGAAATAGAGCGCCCGGATTGGATGGCATTACAAATGCCATGGTACGGAACCTCAGCGATGAAGCATTACAAGCCATCACAGACCACTTTCAGGAAGTCTGGACACCGAGTGTAAAGATACCTGCAGAATGGACACTGGCACATGTTGTACTCATACCTAAACCAGGCAAACGTCGAAGCCTTGATCAGCTACGACCAATTTCTTTAACGTCATGCATTGGCAAGCTCTTCGAAAAAGTTATACTCACTCTCCTTGACCAATACACAGAAGAACGGGGGCTTCTACCAACATCTATGTACAGATTTAGGCGAGGAGTGTCTACCCAGGATATCTTCTTACTGCTCAAAGAGGAAGTGCTTAACCCAGCGCCAGGTAGTCTCAACAATCTACTCGTTGCGCTCGACATCGAAAAAGCATTTGATAATATTGCGCACTCTACCATACTAGACGGTCTTGCAGCCATAGGATGCGGACAACGCATATTCAACTATGCCTCTGATTTTCTTGGAAATCGCAAGGCGCAGATTGGCATAGCTGGTACCAAATAATCACCATACGACCTCCCACTGAAAGGCACACCTCAGGGCTCCATCTTGTCTCCATTTTATTCAATATCGGCCTCCGGAAACTAGTCCTCCAGCTGGAGACTGTACCAAACCTGGGCTGTGCCTTTTACGCGGACGATATTACGCTATGGGCAACAAAGGGCTCCTATGGAGAACGACAAGATGTACTGCGAACCGCTATAGACATGATTCAAGGCTACCTCACTGCTGCAGGCATGTCGTGCGCACCTAGCAAATCGGAATATTTGCAAATAAGACCCCCACGCACTCGGTCCAACCGTGCACCCGCGCTGCAGCTAGAAATTGCTGGACAGATAATCAACAGGACCACAGTAGCTCGAATATTAGGCATGCACGTGCAAGAAAACAACAGCGTAAAGACTGCAATAGGCAAACTCAAACACACCGTAAAGAGTATTGCATCCCTTATAGCTAGAATTGCGCGAAGTAATGATGGGATGACAGAGGCCGACACGGTACGCCTTGTACATACCTTCGTTTTCAGCCGAGTCACGTTCGCTCTTCCCTTTCAATCAACACGCAAGCCCGAAATAGAGCAGATTGACAGACTCATCAGAATTGCGTACAAAGCAGCATTGCGACTTCCGAACAGCACAAGCACAGAAAAACTCATAGGACTCGGCATGCATAATGCGTATGAAGAATTGGCCGCCGCCACGCTAATCGCACAGCGAGAACGACTCACCACTACGCTCCAGGGAAGAACACTGCTACAGAGGCTGGGATACCCTCTCACCCCTCAATACTGTGGCGATGAGACAGTCATTGTACCCAAGCAAATACGTGATCAAATAATCGTGGAACCAGTTCCAAAAAACATGCACCCGCTCTACAACAAAAAGCGCCGTCAAGCGCGAGCACGAAAACTCCTGCAGAGAAGTAGCGATCCAGACGCTTACTTTAACGACGTCAGTCTTTATCCCGCGCCACCACAAGGCTCCAGGAAACAAGCATATGCATTGGCAGTGACTAAACAAAGCAAAGTCGTGGCCTGCGCGTCCCTACGCACCAGATCAAGTGCCACCGCAGAGGCAGCAGCCATAGCCTTGGCAATCAGAGAAGCCGAAAGAAGGGGGCGCTCAGCGTATATTTTGACAGACTCACAAGCTGCATGTCGCTTATACCTTAGAGGCACACTTCCAAGGTGCGTCACTGATATTTTGGGGTCCATGTTGATGGAGGCACATGGCGTCACTTGGTGCCCAGGGCATGACGGCCTGGGGGGGAACGAGGGGGCAAACTGCGTAGCTCGCGGACTTACTGGCCGAGACGCAGGACTCTCCTCAGGACACCTCACAGGGCATCATGAAGAGCAAAGTGTAACAAGCAGGCAGATATTGGAAAACCAACGCCTTACAAGACGCACGTACGCCCCTCCACATCCGAACTTAAGCAGCCAACAAGCCCGGGATTGGCGCCGCCTCCAAACGAACACATACCCCCACATATCAAAATTACACGCAATTTTTCCACAGATATACACAACAGGGGTATGCCCATGGTGTAGTAACCACACAGCCACACTTACACACATAACCTACCAATGTACCGAGCGGCCAGCCTATGCAGTATCTAGGTTGGTGCGCTCACTACAAACACTCACAACGTGGTTTTGGGAGGCACGGCTTTCCGAGCTGGCACTGGGGACCCAACTGGTGACCCTAGACCAGGCCCGGCGAGCCGCTGTGGCCAGTGGGGCTCTACAAGAGGGCTCCACCCGGGATTAGTCACGTAATTTTAATTCTTCAATAAAGTTTATTCTCTCTCTCTCTCTCAACCACAATAGTGTGTGCCTGATGAAGTTGCTTCTGAAGTCTGCAATGCACGCATTGTCGACAATCCGGAATGTCGAGGAAGGTCTCCTCGACGTTTCACATGAAATCAGCACAAAATTCAAGGAGAGGAAGAGCGCGAAACATCCTTAGAGCCGGACTCTGGTTGTGCAGTTCCGCGTTTGACTTGCGGAGCGTCTGCTCGCGTGGCAATGCATAAGTATCGCTTTGTCGCGCTTGCAACAGATGTCGCGACGCGCTTTTCAATGTGTGCAGGCAAGAAGAAGAAACCATTCCCCATCTAGTGCTACGCTCTACATGTTTGGGCTCACACCAACGGAAAGGCACCACACTGCCCGAGGCTCTGGGGTGTGTTCACAAAGATGACCCGTGCGATGGAGCGGCGGGTACACTGAACTATGCGGCAGTACGCGCCACCAAAACAAGGCTGGTGCAGTGGTGGAGCGCGACGAAGCGGTAACGATTTATGTGGACAAAATCGAAGGTGTGCAGATGCGGGTGTGTACGCCTGTGAAGTGTTTTGTTTGTTTACTTTTAAGTGTTTTTTCTCTGGCTAGGGCAGATTAATCTGGCTTGCCCGATACAAAGGGATTAGCCTCAAATCATTACCATCATCATCATATGGTAGAATGCACTGACCGCTGTGTTCTGGTGTATAGAAGCGCAAAAACAAGTAAAAACCTTACTGCCCAAGCGCTCTGTACAAATAGTAAAACAGCGAAAGCTGAAGTGTTCGGCCCCGGCGGTCAGCAGTGGCTTCGACCCTGACGCTGCACTGAAGCCTTTCGCAATTACTGGTTTCATGTTCGTGCTTATTAATGAGGTTAAACACACGTTTGGCTTGGGTTTACCACAATGCTTATTTCACATGCCTAAAATTGGGTCTCGCAAGATCACGGTCATGGAAGGGTGTAATGAGTGGTTGAATGCGTTTCGCAATGCCTTAGTCACAGTGGTTGTTCTCGAACCACTGGTGGTCAAAGATGTCGCAGCCGAAGTGCCGCTGGAGAAACTCGCTACGAAAGCGGGCTTTCGCCCTGGTGAACGCGCTCCCGAAATAATCGAATTGACGCTGCAACTTCGCGTTGTTGCAAGCGTTCGACATCGCGAGCTAACTCACAACACAGCCAACGGCGCGCGTGCTTAGGTAGGACGCGGCGAATGACGTAACTGATAACACAGCCAATGAAGACCGCCCATGACTCCACCGTGGGACGGTTTCTCAATTCTCCTAGCCATATACGGCTTTAACGTGGACCAAGAAGTAGCCACAACGATTGCTTACTCGCAACTGAAAGAACAGGAATGGTAAATAAATTAGAACAGCATGCTACGCACCCTGTTGGCCGTTGAGTGCAGGGAGATGTGCAGGTTCTGTCTTCCCGCTGGACCGGACACTGGCCTCAGGAAGGCGCTGGCGGTGCTCCAGCGGGAACCGTTGCGCATCGTAGTCTGGAAGGCGGAGAACCCTGCGAACATATATGGGGACGTCTTCATTGGATGATGGAGGTCAATCATTGCTGTCGCCCCGAAGGCGGCAACAGAATGCACGTTCACGAACAAGTGTTATGAAGCGAGTTGATGTGGAAATGAGTTTCTCGAGTCATTTCAGAATGCCCAAAGTATGGCATTCAGGACGAACATAATTTCTCTAAATAAGATAGAGAAATAAACGTACAGTTCGAGTGGCCCAGACTAACCGTCCATGTGCGACCATTGCAATGTACTGAAGCCAGTGTGCCCCGCTGGCTATATGCTACACACATACTGCCCATAACATGTATGCTTTCTAAGCTTTTTGAAACCGTACGTTGCTGAAGCGCGGATGTTCAAGGAAAATGCGTGTATTAGTATCCAGTTGCATCTTATCGAAAAGTGCTGCAAATACGGAGGTGTCTTTATGCTATAAGATTATCGGTCACCTGTCGTACATGACACACTTTTTCAGCTAAAAGACAATGCGTGCAGAAGCAAAGGGTTACACCGCTTCCTGGTCTTACCTATCATCTTACGGCTGCCGACGTTGTAGTCGATGATGTCGTAACCCAACTCTCTGCCGGCGTCCAAAAATGTCCTTGCCAGCGGAGTGTTCGAGGCAGCCATGGACAGTGTCATCTCGCCTCCCACGCCGTATGTGCCTGTGAGATATTTGAAATGAAACTCAGGAGACCAACGTTTGCAATAAGCCATATGGTATGCTCAGCGACCCAAAATATAGTATAGCACAGCGTTTTGGCAATACTTTGAACAATACGTGACGCTGTGGCCGTGGGACGAGGCCATTTTTCTGTGAAAGTGCGCAATTACATGCACGGCGCTCACTTGCTATCAAGGAGGTTTAAAAGAAAATTGGCAGATCCAACGTACAATAGAACCGACGATATGCCAAGCACGAATGAGAAATGTTGATATGTCACTTTAAAATTAGCTCAACGTTACGAGGTGGAAGTAAATGATGCCGTACTTCCGTGTCATGATTATCATGTTTGGATGTGTCGTTTACCATCGTCATCTGTTGACATCACCTGATACCATATTTAGTATATGTGGAGCTAGCGAAACGGCCGCGAGCATGCTGTGAGCGTGGTATGTTGTCATGTTCTTACATGACACGCGTGTCAGGATTATCATGTTTGCACCAGTCCTATATTTCATCTATTGACGTCACGTAAAACTGAATTTGGTATATGTGGAGCTAGTTAAACAGCCGTGAGCGCATCATGAAGGGCCTCATATACTACAATGTAGCGTTGACATGCGCACACGTTGGGCACAGCGACGCTACGCTAGCAAAACGTGAGCACTCTATAGTCTGACGCAAGGCGCGACCAGCGTCCGTCGGCGCGGCCCGACGGCAACCGGCGCGAAATGCGACATGCGGCATTTAGCGCCGATGCGCTACCCAGACAACACTGCGTCTCCCTCTTTCGTGATGTAGGGATGTCGGACGCGCTGAAACGCGCATGCATAAAAGCAACGCAGCGTGGCGTGCGCCTGCGAGTATATGGCAGGACCGGCGCCTGGCGTGGACACGCCGGCGTGACGCGACGAAACGAACGCCGAGCACGTGCACTGCGTCACGCGAAAACGTATTGGCGCCTTAACTGTGGTATGTAGTCATGTTATCACATGACACGCATCTCATGATTGTCATGTTTGCACCAGTCACATACCTTCGTCATCTATTGGCGTCACGTAATACCAAGTTTGGCATATGTGAAGCTAGCGAAACGGCCGCGAGCGCATCATCAGTGTGGTATGTACTGATATTGTTACATAACACGCATGTCGTGATTATCTTGATTGGATGTGTCATTTACCTATATCGCTCATTAGCGTCACGTAATACTGAGTTTAGTGCATGTGAAGCTAGCGAAACGGCCGTGAGTGCATCATGAGCGTAGCATGTAGTCATGTTGTTACATGACATGCATCTCATGTTTATGATGTTTGTACCAGTGACATACCTTCGTCATTCATTCAGTACTGCAATACCTAATTTTGTATATGTGACGCCAGCGAAACGGCCGTGAGCGCATCATGAGTGTGGCATGTAGTCATGTTGTTACGTGACACGCATGTCATGATTTTCTTGTTAGGGCCTGTTGCTTGTGTTCGCCATGCAATCATGCCATACCCTACCACTATTGCAGCATGCCATGTGAACGAAGCCACCGCAAGAGCTGCAGGACGAGATGTAAATCATGACATTCATTGCACACATGTCTTGATTTGCGTGTTATCACTAGTCAAATATGTTCTCCATATACAGCCATGTTATGCCATACCAAGTTTGGTATCGATTTCATTATTGAAACTGCCAGGAGAGCTAGAAGCCGTATATAGGTGGCTAGATAGATAGATAGATAGATAGATAGATAGATAGATAGATAGATAGATAGATAGATAGATAGATAGATAGATAGATAGATAGATAGATAGATAGATAGATAGATAGATAGATATGCTTAAAGTCAGCCGAAGTTCACTAAGAAATGCTTCGCATTTAAAAATTGCTAGGGTGAAAATTCTCGCCCACGAGTGAAGCCATGCCAACCAGAAGATGGCGGCCGTGGCTGCCATCTTACTAGGGGTACGATGAGCTGTTGGCGTTCGGCAATTGAGAAGGAGTGCGTTCCTCGCACGCCCAATGAGTTTAACGTAGGAACCTTATCGGGACTGATAGTGCTCAAAGTGCGTCCTTGTGTTACTAGTTTTATTTAGTAAGCTTCGAATTTATGGCAAATTTTATTAGAGGTTAAGTCACCGATACTAGTCTCTGCAAAATATTTCCTGGGCAACAACTATTTTTTGTATTAACGCAGGCATTATACTAGTGAATCAAAGCTACTTGATGTCTAAGTTGGCACCATCAGAAAATAGCACGTTTCTGAGATTTTTGGAGGGCAAAAGCTGGCTTCAGTACTGCTGGCAAAGCAGTGCAAGACCTTCCATTATAGCATTTTTTTATCTCCTTGGGTTCTCTGCATGGTTTGTTCGGAGTGGATGGCGTATTTTTATTGAAGACCGGATGGCTGCAACTGTAATACGTGAGCGAGGCGCTTGCGCTGCCGTGCTTTACTTCATTACTATTCACTGCATCAAAACGCGATGACAGAAAAGTTGCGTGCCCCTAATTATGTGCAGTAGAGTGCAACCAACTACAAAGATCTTTCGTCCATTCTGTAATTTGGAGTTTCGTACATGGCAATTTCCCTTCTGGAAGTACAGCACCTCATAACATGAACTGATGGGCAAGTTGGGGAGCCATGATTTTTGAAGATTCAGCGCACAGAAGAATACAAAGCGTCCTTTATGTGTGCGTGTTTTGTAACCTACTGCGTGCGGCGTCTTCAAAAACCCAATACGTTCTGTCAAGCGCTCGCATAGGAGGTGTTCCAACTCATACACGGTACCGGATGCGGCCAGGCGTATGTCGGTCTGGTCTTCGAAACGCTTGAAGAATGGCAGCACGCTTTCCCAGTCCCATCCGGTGGCGCCGTGCACTCGACTCCAGCGGTCGTAGTCCTCGGGATGTCCGCGAACATACAGCATGAAGTTGACGCTCGAGCAGCCGCCCAGAACCTTGCCGCGGGGCCACGGGCTGCACTGTGAGAGGCGCAGCATGTTTCAATGACGTCAGCACTTTATAGTTGGTCACTTCATAGTTCCTGCTTACTTCGACGTGCTTCAAGAATACAAGCGTACCTCCAGTACCCCTGACGTTTTTCATTCTATTAATAGAAAATGCGGGAACGTGAAAGCGAAGTATAACGAAGTCCCAACTGCAGTTTATTGTTTGTGGTTGACGCAGCTACTAACCTGCCGACGTCCACAACTTCTGCGTACGAGATGAATCTAGAGTTTATCTTTTTGCATTAAACAAGGACCTACATATCGCCACCACCATAAGGACCTAATTAAAAAGAAAGAAAAAAAAATGTCAAGCAGATTTATCTGGATTATCAGTAAATAATGCACCAGATATCATCGCTTCACCCGGCGTACCAGCGTATTGTCTTTCATCTCCTGTTTAAAGTCAAGTTTCGGCGTCACAATACTGTGCTGTAGGATTGCTTTTTTATGTATTTAACAACTGAATGAACAGTGCTATGGTAGACGAATATGCATGAAAATGATTGAGTTGGTGCATTCAACTTTTCACAATTTTGCAATTCGCGTCGCGATATAAAAACATTTCTTTCATTTAACACTACAAAACATCACAGCTTTGCTGCAAAGACGAAGCCATCAATGCGATATCAACAAGTTTGAAGGTCACGTGCAGAATGCAAGCAGATCAAAACGCGCCCTGTGTTTTTCACGCGCAAAGGACGCATGAAACGTACTCACAGGTACAGACGAACGCAAATAAGCGTCCCAGTTGTTAGTTTGCTGTGTCTGAAAAGCGCGCCCTTTTCGCAAACGGAGACAGTGCAACAATCGCAGTTGCCTTTGTGTCTCTGGTGAGTACAATAGAATCGTTTCGGGGAAAGTCCAAAGCCAGCCAAGACGTAGGATCCTCCCCACCATGATATAAGTGCGCGCGAGTGAGCGTAAACCCACTTCTATCCGCGGGACAAAGTACGCGTGGGAGATGAGAGTGCGTGCCGCTGCGTAATGACGACGTGGCGATGCGCGCTCATTGCGCCATCTTGCTGGTTATACTGAAAACACTTAGTCCCCTCCCCCGGAATGCCCGTCACCAGCAGTAAGTGGTAGATATATATAGTATCTAATAGATATAGCTAGTATATAATAATATATATATAGCTACTAATAGAATTCGCTGAACGCAATACTTTACGGATTTTGAATACCTTCTACCGAAAACGAGGAAACCGCAAGTGGACATGGAGGAGCCCTAATGGCGAAAATAAGAACGAAATAGACTTTATAATGAGTGCACACCCAGGCATCGTGCAGGATGTGGAAGTGGTTGGCAAGGTACGATGCAGTGACGATAGAGTGGTACGGTCTCGAATTCGCCTAGACTTGAGAAAGGAACGACAGAAACTGATACGCAAGAAGCCAATCAATGAGATAGCACTGAGAGGGAAAGTACAGGAATTCAGAGTCTCGCTTCAGAACAGGTACTCGGCTCTTAGTGAGGAAACCAACCTTAGCATATATACAATGAATGATAATCTGACGAGTATCATTACGGAGTGTGCAGTGGAAGTTGGAGGCAGGGTAGTTAGACGGGACACTGGCAAGCTTTCCCAGGAAATGAAGAATCTCATTGAAAAGCGTCAAATCCTGAAAGTCTCAAGTACAAAAGACATAATAGAACTGGCAGAGCTTTTGAAGTTGATTAATAGGCGTAAGGTATCCGACGTAAGAAGGTATAACATGGAGAGAATTGAACATGCTCTGAAAAACGGAGAAAGCGTCAAAGCAGTGAAGAGGAAACTTGGGATAAGCAAAACTCAGATGTATGCACTAAGGAACAAAGAGGGCAAAATAACTACCAATATGGATAGGATAGTTAAAATAGCGGAGGAGTTTTACACAGATCTGTACAGTAGCCGAGACAACCATGACCTTAATACTATAAGAACTAGCAGTAACCCAGATGACACCCCGCCAGTAATGATAGAAGAAGTCAGAAAAGCTTTGGAGAGCATGCAAAGAGGCAAAGCTGCTGGTGAGGATCAGGTAACATCAGATCTGCTGAAAGATGGAGGACAGATTGTGTTTGAAAAACTAGCCACCCTGTTTACGAGGTGTCTCCTGACGGGAAGAGTACAAGAGTCTTGGAAGAACGCTAACATCATCTTAATACATAAGAAAGGAGATGACAAGGACTTGAAGAATTACAGGCCGATCAGCTTGCTCTCTGTAGTATACAAGCTATTTGCAAAGGTGATTGCTAACAGAGTAAAGAAAACATTACAATTCAATCAACCAAAGGAACAAGCGGGATTTCGAACAGGCTACTCAACATTCGACCACATTCATACTATCAATCAGGTAATAGAGAAATGCTCAGAATATAACCAACCACTATACATAGCCTTCATAGATTACGAGAAGGCGTTTGATTCAGTAGAAATATCAGCCGTCATGCAGGCACTGCGGAATCAGGGCGTCGATGAAGTATATATAAACATTCTGGAAGAAATCTACAGGGGATCAACTGCTACCATAGTGCTTCATAAAGAAAGCAACAGAATACCAATGAAGAAGGGTGTAAGGCAGGGGGACACAATCTCCCCAATGCTATTTACCGCGTGCTTACAGGAGGTTTTCAGAAGCCTAGAATGGGAACAGTTAGGGATAAGAGTTAATGGAGAGTACCTTAGTAACCTGCTCTTCGCCGATGACATTGCATTGCTGAGTAACTCAGGGGACGAATTGCAACTCATGATTACGGAGTTAGACAACTAGAGCAGAAAGGTAGGTCTTAAAATGAATCTGCAGAAAACGAAAGTAATGTACAACAACCTCGGAAAAGGGCAGTGCTTCGAGATAGGTAATAGTGCACTTCAAGTTGTAAAAGACTATGTCTACTTAGGGCAGGTAATAGCCGCGGAGCCGAACCACGAGATTGAAGTAACTAGAAGAATAAGAATGGGGTGGAGCACATTTGGCAAGCACTCTCAAATTATGACAGGTAGACTGCCACTATCCCTTAAGAAGAAGGTATATAACAGCTGTATCTTGCCGGTACTTAGCTACGGAGCAGAAACCTGGAGACTTACAAAGAGGGTTCAGCTTAAATTGAGGACGACGCAGCGAGCAATGGAAAGAAAAATTGTAGGTGTAACCTTAAGAGACAAGAAGAGAGCAGAGTGGATTAGGGAACAAACGGGTGTTAAGGATATCATAGCTGAAATCAAGAAGAAGAAATGGACATGGGCCGGGCATGTAGCGCGTAGACAGGATAACCGCTGGTCATTAAGGGTAACTAACTGGATTCCCAGAGAAGGGAAGCGGGTTAGGGGGAGACAGAAAGTTAGGTGGGCAGATGAGATTAAGATGTTTGCGGGTATAAATTGGCAGCAGCAAGCACAGGACCGGGTTAACTGGCGGAACAAGGGAGAGGCCTTTGTCCTGCAGTGGACGTAATCAGGCTGATGATGATGATGATATATAGTATGCCGTTTGAACGTTGAATGACGAGTTCCTTGGTGGCTCAGTAGTTAACGCTTCGCATTCACGTCTCAGAAGTCCCAGCTTCGATTCCGCGCGCCGGAGTCTTTTTCTGCATTAGTTTTATTCTTGCGTTTATATATATATATATATATATATATATATATATATATATATATATGGGATATGGCACAACGGGAGCGTTATCAACCAGGATAAATATATTTATTTCCCAACAGTTTCGGCAGGGGTCCTCCCTTCATCAGGGGATGAGTTATACTGACATGAATTTCCAAACTTCGATGCTGCCGCGTCCCTCTCGCCTTGAAACGTGTTTGCGAGAGTGAGAGGGAACTGAAAAAAGGGGGGGGGAAGAAAAAAGAAAGAAAAGAAAGAAAGTAAAAAAGAGGAAGAACCACTGTCAACACTGAGAACGAAACCAACTGTCCGTGTACGTCCACATACGTTTCTTATCACGTGCTGTTCAGTTCTCGACGTGTGTCGGGCCACCCAAGATTGTCGCCGCGGTGCCGGGAGGGTCCGTGACGGCGTGCGTAAAGAAAGGGTTTCCCCGTAATGGGTCGGTCGGCATGCAGCGTGCGTAAAGGAAAGGTCTCCCGTTAATGGGTCGGTCGGCTCTTTTTACGTTTAATCTTCGCCCGTTTCCCTTCAAAGGTCATCAAGTGGTAGGCGAACGAAAACACTTTGTATGTGCACGTGGAAAAAGGAAGAAAAGAAAAAATGAATGAAGAAAAAACGAAAACAAGAATGGACAGTGTACACGTACGAGTCAGTCAGAAAAAAGCATAGTCTCCAGCTATCAATCTTTGTCACCAATTTCCTCCTGGCTTACTTCTCGGAGGCAGTTGAGTTTACCGGGGTCCTCGTTGATGCCGGCTACTAATGTTCGAAATTTAAAAATAAATTATGCCTCACGCTGTTCGCGCTCGCGTCTGTTTGAGAAACCGGACTGCAAAAGAGTTACGCTGATATTTTAAAAACTGTGGTTTGGCAGGCGCAGATGTCTAGATAAAGGTAGCTTCGGCAGTGAAGTGGCGTGGTACCGGTGATTATTGAACCGTAGCCGAAATGGCGTGTCTGTTTGGCCGATATATTCTTGTCCGCAGATGTTGCAATGTAGCATGTATATTACGTTACTGGAGTCACAATTAAGGCTTTCAGTTATGCAGACTTTAAAATCCGAGAAGTTCGCTTTGGATTCACGTGTTGTGACCATCTGGGGGCATACCTTGCATCGAGCTTTTCCGCAGGGATGGCACCCTGATTGAAATTTGGGGGTGGTTGTTTTTGCTCTGAAAAGAATGTCCTTCCGATTTTTATCCCGGCGATACACCACGTGAGGTGGCTTCGCGAAGATAGAAGTTAGTCGTTTGCTTTGCCTGATTATGTTGAAATGGCTGGACAGTATGTTGTTGATTCGTGGCGCTGATGAGGAGTAAGTTAGTACGAGGTTCGTTTGGGAAGTCGTTTTAGATACTCTGTTTGGTCCCTTA